AACAAAACACACAGCGTTTCTTTTTTCAATTTGGCTAAGAGGACGTGAGAGTTTGTTATATGGATCATGAAGGAATCTGTTATCGAGATTGTTTTAAAAAGGACAAGTCTCCTTGTATACAAGATACAAAACTTGATCATATATGTTGGACTATATATTCTAACATGGATTACGGGCTTGGACTTGTTTGATCATTCAAGGTTTTTGATTGTCGTCATTAGAAAACCAACGTTGAAATCTGTTTAAAAATATAATATTTAATTTAACATATAATCATGCATGTGTATTATGCTCCTTTGCTTGTTTGACCAACACAGCTCATAGCTACCTTGGTGTAAAAGAACCTACAGTAAAAAAATGGGTATATATATACTGAAAAAACAAATAAACACTACAAAATAAGGGGCTATTATGTAGTAGTGAAATTATATCCAGTGACTCTTTAATCATGTTTTGACGATAAACAAAAAAAATAAAATATTTAGTTGTGAAAGAAATTTGTTTGATGATGCGGTTGAAAGCTTTCAAAATAAAAAGTACCTAAGTCAACATCTTTTGCTACACATATATTATATTATAAAACAGTTGGACTAGACTTTTAAAAACTGGTTTTTTATGTATCAAGTATCATTCATTAATACATACTAGAAGGGTAGCATGCAATACATCGAGACATATTTTCATTTTAATGTTTTGTTTTATTTTTTATCTATGTCGATATAATACGATTTTATGTGGTTTTGAGAAAACGATAATGTTTTTATTTTTGAATAAAATATAAATTTGAAAATATTATATAAAATTTGCAAAAAATATATCAATATTAGTATAAATTAACTATTTAAAAGTCTTTATTTGTATATATTTTTTAATTTAATTTTTTATTATAATTTAATTTAACGTAACGAAGTAACTTAATTTAGGTTTAATAATATATATTTTTTATAAAGATAATAATTAATTATTCTGTTAGAACTCAATAATTATCCTAATTATATTTGAGATTTTCTATATTTTAAAATGAGATGTTTATTCTCTATTTGATTATGTTTATCCGCAGTTAGTTACACTATTTCAAACATAGAACTTTTATAAGTTGTACTTATGCACAGTTTACTTGTAATCTTGAATTTCAAGTAATATGCATCAATAAACAGTACTTCAGCATAAAAAATGGTTTTTAAGAGTTTTTGTCAAATGCTTTATAATATAGTATACATTATTTAAATTCAACATTACAAATTAATTTAGAATAAATACAACTTATTAAAGCCCTATGTTTGAATTTGTGTAACTAACTACAGATAAACATAATAAATATAAGATAAACACTACGAGATGAACCCTTGATCACATTTAATCACAATCTCACCCATGAATTGCACTTGTGATTGATCTGGTGCATCATGGTGCATCTCATCCTAATATGCATCAAAGGGGAACATTTCTTACGCTTCTCACATTAACTCTCATTCTCATCAGAACCCAACTATATATATATATATATATATATATATATATATATATGTTTTTTTTAAGTATATAATACAAATAAACTCACACACTCTTCTCACCTATGGTGAGGTTTGAACCTCTGATCTCCTAGAAGGCCAAGAGCTATGATACCGCTAGGACAAAGACCATTTGGTATATATATATATATATATATATATGTGTGTGTGTGTGTGTGTGTGTTAAGTTAAATATTATTCCGTAGTATTCTTTTATATTGCTCACATATGGCATATATTAATGTCTACTTTAATTTAGTTCTTATATTTATCGAGAAAAGGAATTCATCTTTCTTTTTTTTATATAGAGGGGGCGGCCCCTCTAATCAAGAAAAAAAACATTAAAACATGATTTTTTTTAAGGACAGAAAAATAAAACCAATGCCAACACACAGGTGGAGACTAAACCGAAGCACCACCAGAGATGAGCAAAGCTCAGAAGAGACAGAGGAGAAGGAAAAAAGAGGAAGGAGAATAAATGAACCAACCACTATGGAAGGTTCTAGATAAGTCTAGCACGAACAACGTTTTGGTAAGGGTTCATGGTAAGACCAATCAGTCTGGATCGGACATCATCAGAGATGACGTTGACCACCATGTCGTAAGATCTTCTTTTATTATTGAAGAAGTTCATTGTGAGTAAACGAGAAACAAGACAAGGTTGGAAAAAATAAATATAATGAAAATTATTGTTTTGATTTTTATATTGTTTCTAAAACATTACACTATAATTATATTTAAAGTAATATTAAAATTTATCATAACATATTATAGATGTAAAATAATCACTATATTTGTGAACTTATGTTTTACATATAAGTTTTGAACTTTAACAATAATATTTATAGTTTAAATGAAATTTTGTTTTACCATTTATCTATTACTCATTTCATTACTAGTTTTTTTAAAGAGTATGGTAGGATATAGATAATAGGTTTATAAGATGGATAATTATCTGTTTCATTACCCATTATTTTAGATTGAATAATGAAATAAGTGTTATCCTACCTATACCCTTACCTGTTGACAAGCCTATGGAGGACCATCAGCTTCAAGGGTGCATTTTTCTTAAGCATTTTTTGCTTCATCTAAAGTCCGAAATGAACCCTGATCTGTATATAATTTTGTCTGGAATAATGAGGGAACGTACATTCCCGTACATTATTGATTTGTATATAATATTAAAATACGTATATTCCTATTCTTTTAAAAAAAATTAAAAATTAAATCCAGAGGGAGGTTTTAGGGAAAATACACAAAAAAATGAAAATTTTAAGGAAGACATAAATAACCATTCATTTAGATGGTATGTATATTTGCATACAAGTAATTAAAATTGTTCATTATTTTTATGCACGCATACATATTATGTACTTGTGTATATCAAACGAATTACTTATAAATTACGCTATGCATATATCATAGCGTCCAGATGAACGATTATCAAAACGTTTCTTAAATTTTCATTTTTTTACGATATCCCCTAAACCTAACCCTTAAAACCCAAATATTTATCTATACTATCTTATTAAGCAAATTTAGCAAAAGTCTTAAAATCTTAAAATTCTAAATGATCAAAATACCCTTTATACTTACTTTTTCACTTTTTCACCCTCTCCTCTCCTCACATACACTCACCCCCTCACATGCATTCACCATCTCACAACCGATTTTTTTTAAAAATTATAATTTTAAATTTACATTTTAAATGTTTCATTTTAATTAATTTAATTTATGCCCTTTACTTTTAAATGTTTCATTTTAAACTTTTATCAAATTAACATACATAATCGTATATCAATTAAAACATGTTTAAAAAATACATTTTTATTTTTACAAGTTACACCATTATAATCGTCTCGTTAATACCTTCGAAATGAGTCAAATATTGAATAGTTTTTGACTTAATTATATTATTATATATTATATATATTGTGAAAGAATATTTTTAATATTTACGATTTATACTTTTATAGTTATTTATTTATATATATACTATATATTTTGGGATTAGGCTATCCAAATTGTACTGTATAACATGTTTTGAATTAATATGTTCTTGGGTTTTTTTGAAATATATATATATATATATACATGTATTAATTCAACTTTACTCTGAGTTTTTGGACAAGAAAGAGGGTAAGCAGTTGAAATTTCATTATAAAACTCATCTTTTTTTGTCTTTTCATGGCTTATAATCTGTCAAATTTGTAGTTTTCTTTAGTGGTTTTGAATGTTTATCTTAAAACTCAAGTTTCTTGTTTCTTTGCTCTTGGTGTAAATCGAATATATTTGTGGAGTCATTTAAATATGTTGGATTTTAAATATATTGGATTTTAAACTGTCATACAATATTTTCATCGATAATCTGTAATTGGAACCATAACTCTTATTTATTCAAATTGTATTAATATGTAAAGACCAAACGTAACTTATATCATCGTTAAATCTTATCTTATAAAACCAATGGAACTTCAAAGTCATTAAAATTCATGGCTCTCGCCGCATTGCACGGATACACAACTACTAATAATACAATATTAAGGGGGTGTTTGAGATTGCTTATAAAAACAACTTATTGACTTATTCCAGTATGACACCAGTAACAAACATTTTTAAGTGTTTGAATAAACAATTTATACCGGTAATAAGGAGTTCTTAAATAAATTAAACTTTTTTAAGTTATAATAAATTAATAAATATTTTTATAAAAAAACATAAATTATTTCAAATAAACAATCTCAAACACCCCTTAAATAAAATAGTTTTCAAATCGGGTTTAGTAGTAGTTCAAGGAGCTGCTTTTTGAAATTTGAAAGTGCGGTACAACCATAAATAGCTCATAAATTAAAGCCGGCCCTAATAAGGTACTAATTTCTCCCCCACCCGCTGGATTTTCCTTTTTTGGCCTTCTATGTTTCATTTATTTAAAGTTACACCTCCATTCTCCATTTACTTATCAAAATGATCCTAAAACCCACATCACTTGACTGAATAAACCCCCCACTTAGCATATATCCAACTTTTAATGCTTTTTTTTCTACACAAAGAAAATGAAAAGCATTTTTAAATTATATATTTATTGTTCTTATTATTTGTATATTAAATTTATCAATAAAATATATTTAATAAATATTATAGTTTGTCCTCTTTCTCTATATATGTATGTATATATATAGAGAGAATGTTTCAAATACAACTCATTATATTTGTATAACTAATGCAACTCAATCATTTGAGATATTTATAAAAATGATGAGAATTCATGTATTATGATTTAAATATTTATGGAAAAGTATTTTATCTTTGGAAGTATGTATGCAAAAAGACTCAATTTCTTGGACCAGAGTTGTGAAACATTACAAATAGAAAGGACCAAGTGTGTAAAATTGAAATTCTGATTTGTTGTAAGATGATTATTATTTTTAATATTTTCAAGCATTAAAGAAAAGAAAAGAAAGGAAAAGAAAAGACTCGAGTAATCCAAATCCCTCCCAATAAACAAATCGATCCCCCCCATCTCTCTCTCTCTCTAAAATCTGAATTCTCTCTTCAGGTATGTGGAGTGTATATGAACTTCAATTTGCCCTAAATCATCAAGTTGTTTTGTGTATTGATCGATTTTTGCATATGTACTTTGGTGTTTAGGATTCGATTTTCAAGCTGAGTTATATCAATCAACCATCAAATCATGTCTCTGAGGCCGAGCGCGAGGACTGAGGTTCGCCGGAACCGTTACAAGGTGGCCGTCGATGCCGACGAAGGGAGGCGGCGGAGAGAGGACAATATGGTCGAGATCCGTAAGAATAAGAGAGAGGAGAACTTGCTTAAGAAGCGTCAAGTGCTACCGTCGTCACAGCTGTTGTCTGGTGGTGCTCCAGTTCCAACCTCCACCATCGAGAAAAAGGTTTGCTATCTCCGATACGATATTGGTTTCACATGAGATTTTTGTAGTTGTTGGATCAGATGCGTATAAGTAGACTTCTTGCCTGGTATTGTTTAAAGGATCTATTGATTGCTAATATGACTGGTTTATTCTCTGTTCATTCGGATATATGTGTGTTTAGATAGTACGATGATGTAAATGTTATAAATTAATCATACTTGATGGAGATTTAGCATTATTCACCAGGTTAGAAGTCCGTAGTTGTTTGTTCATGAATTTGGTTTCAGTTTTGAGAAGTTCTATTACAAACATATAAGCTGGTATTATACATCAAACCTGTCTGAATTTTTTGGTTGTACTATGTGATGTCCATGTTAGAAATGCTTATTTCGTTTGGAAGATTCACTAGCTGTATAGTTTATTGGGTTCCTGCCCATTCCATATGTATGCATATGTATATGTTGGTTTATAATCCCTTTATTTTATGGAAACACCAAGATTATTAGGCTATAGCTAGTTAGATGCAAACGAGTAGGTGCTTATTAACTAGGTTTGAAGTTCTGGATGTATGCGTGTGTTCGTAGACCAGGTTTCTTTAAACCTCTGTATGTGGACTGTGGTTAGCACAGATGTTGTAGTTTGCTCCCAATCGGACAGGCAACAAGCACACATGTCTCTGCTATTTTATAACATCAATACTGATGTGCATCAAACCTATGTTGTAGATTTAAGGGTATCCAGAAATCCCCTAGGTAGTAAAACTAGGAGGTTGCAAGTTCAAGCCCCTCTTCATCAATAAAAAATTAAACCAACGTACGATTTTCTATTATACCATCAGTTGTGCTGATTCTGTGTAACTAGCTGAAGTGTCACTATATTCATTAATTTGTTTTAACTCTTTGTTTCAGTGTGTGTAAATGACTTGTATATTCTTGACTAGGTTCAGAGTTCTGTAGCTGTGTGCATCTGTGTTTATGCTTTATACCACTTGAAGGTGCTTCAATTGTCGGTTTTCTGTAATGCTTTATAGTTTATATACATATATACAAGTACACCAGTTCTGTTTGGACTGGTATTAGAGCTAATAAGAATAGATTAGAACATATAATTAGTTTGAGAGGACTGAATAGGTGTGAATAAATAGGTTTGAAGCGGTGAGAGTTTTTTACCTGTTTGCAGTTATCAGCTAAATGTAAAACCTCGGGGTTTCAATATTTCTTATTGTTGCATTGGAAGCACATGATTCAACATATATATTTAATTAGAAGGATCAATTAGCTCTCAATTTTTTACGCTTATGTCTTTACATAGTGTTTATTAAGTCTTTCAGTTCTCTAACTTTATGTTTATTAACCAGGTTTGAATTTTGAAAATGTTTGCATGGGATTGTTTGTTTGTTCTGAGAGGGTATAATATTCTGTAGCCATGTGCGTTAAAAAAGAAGAGTATACATGGATGGGAATGTAAAAACTAGGATTAGGTAACTTTTAATTCTAATCATGCCACCATGATTAACTATGAAAACTTTGACAGGAGGGATGGTGTTTTACCTACTTTTAGAGTTCTGAATTTGCATGGATTGTGTATAATATTTAGTAGGTTTCCAGTTTTATGGTTTTGCATGGGTGTGGATAGAAGTTATTTTCACAATAGAGAAAAGGTAGTTAGGCTTAGAAAGTTGTGTTTTGTAGGTGAGATTTGCAACATAATTGCAATTGGTGTGCTTTTGAAATTATGGTTTAAGTTAAAGGTTTGGGTTGTTTTTTTAGGTTTGGGAAGGTGAACAAAGTTGAAGAGGAGGGTTCTTTCAGTAGTTTGTTCTAGTTAAGAGCCTGATGTTCTGGGGTTGGCATTCTCGTAGTTTGGGACCTTTAGCCTTATTTGGCTGCTTTTCTTCCAGTGTCTATATATGCCTACACTAGTTTGTTCCTTGTGTTTGACTTGACAGATTTTTCATAATGACAATTGACACAAGTAGTATAATAATTACTCCTGAATCGTGCTTTGTTATCTGATAGTTTATGTATGGATTGATTTCCATTTACAAACATCCAAGCTTTTTTGTTTTTTGTTGCAATGATGGAAGGAGCTTTCGGCATAAAGGTTTGAGCTCTTATTTTGCTTCTATTATTTTGACAGATTGAATGAATTGTACAAAGACTCTTCTTTGATTTCATGATGATTTTCTGTTGAGCACCACTAACCTATATTCACATCCTCATTGAAGATATTAGCGTGTAGTGTGTGATCAATCTAAAGGGTGGTGACTGGATTTCAGAATACGTTATTCTTCTGTATCTATGAACTTTCACTATTGGGTAAACTACATACGTGAAATTGAGAAAAGATTCCATGATTTGTTGGTTTGATTGGTGAATATATATTTGTTCTTTATCGTTATGGTTAATATGCATCATGAGTTTGTTGTTCCATTTTCTTTTGACATTATCTAATGGCTATTTAGAATGCTGGGACCAGTTCCGAGCATTGTGCTATAAAGATCAATTTGCCATGCATCAGATAAACACCATGAATTACGAATGTGGATTTGTGTATGATTGTATGTATAATGATTTGTAGATATATTTTGTCTGTCATATTGCTGTCATTTTAACTGTTAAAGTGACGATGAAATTGCAGTTAGAGAGTCTTCCTTCTATGGTTGCTGGAGTATATTCAAATGATAACAATATGCAGCTGGAGGCAACTACTCAGTTCCGTAAATTGCTTTCGATAGGTACAAATTATGTTTTTCTAATTTATAATCTGTTGCCAAAAGTAATATTTGTTGATCATTGCTTGTGGAATGGACTGAATTGCTGAAATTTGTGTCACAGAAAGGAGCCCGCCAATTGAGGAAGTTATACAATCTGGGGTGGTACCTCGCTTCGTCGAGTTCTTGATGAGAGAGGATTTCCCACAGCTTCAGGTCAGGATTATTGAAACCTTGGTTTTAATGCTGCATGCTGCCTGTAATTCTGTTTGCCTGCTTTTAACCTTATCTTGGAGCTCTTAACATTGACAGTTTGAGGCTGCTTGGGCACTCACAAACATTGCTTCTGGAACTTCTGAGAATACAAAGGTTGTAATTGATCATGGGGCGGTCCCAATTTTTGTCAAACTTCTTGCTTCCCCAAGCGATGATGTGCGAGAGCAGGTAATATGTGGATACCGTTACTCATAAACAATGGAAATTCTCTTCTGAAGTCAGTTTCTTATATATGACTGCCTTCTTTTTGCTGTAGGCTGTTTGGGCATTGGGAAATGTTGCTGGTGATTCCCCCAGGTGCCGGGATCTTGTTCTTGCTCAAGGTGCTTTGCTTCCGTTGCTGGCTCAGTTAAATGAGCATGCTAAGCTTTCTATGCTGAGAAATGCCACATGGACGCTGTCAAATTTCTGTCGGGGGAAACCACAGCCTCCTTTTGAGGAGGTTGTTTTTTAATCTTTTTGTTATACAGTATGCAGTTATTATATATTGATTAATTTTGGGTGGGAGGGCCGGGGGTGGTGTTAGGTGATCAAACAATCTGAACTCTATAATTTGCAGACAAGACCAGCACTTCCAGCCCTTGAGCGGCTTGTTCATTCAAATGATGAAGAGGTGCTGACAGATGCATGCTGGGCTCTCTCTTATCTCTCTGATGGTACAAATGACAAAATTCAAGCTGTGATCGAGGCTGGTGTCTGCCGACGTCTTGTTGAGCTCCTCCTGTGAGTTGTGCTACATCTTAATTACTATTATTGCATAATGTAGCCTTCCTGATTATAATTGATTCACATTGTGACAACCTTTCATCTGATATTTCAGTCACCCATCTCCCTCAGTACTCATTCCTGCACTTCGAACTGTTGGGAACATTGTAACTGGTGATGATGTTCAAACTCAGGTACGAGCTTGCTAGTCTTTGTATGATAACATCTTGATGTAGCAGTTGACTACTTGCTGAATCAATTATTCTTTGATATAAAGTATAAAAACTAAAGGTTGTATCCGATTTATATATTGTATTGTTGTGAAGCTCTTGTGAAAAAGGTATCAAACATATATAACCTAAATAATTGTAGATGGCTGCTCTCAAATACAAACTTTGATATACACTCAATGACATGTGTTCTTACAAATCCAAACTTGTTTTCGTTTTTATTGTTATAGCACTTTATGTGTAGTTGTGCACCACAATAAATTAAATTTTGGATACTCAGAAAGAAAGATTTGAAATTTTGGGTCTTATTTGGTTCTGGCATTTTGTTATTATATCATCATATCTAGTTGCGTTATCTTTATTTGTTGCATTTCGACTGTATATTATTTTTTCTAAAATCTCTAGTTCTACAAATAAGAAGTTAAAAGATCTTAACAGATAAGAGGTGCAGGCTGCATTAGTTATCTTGTTGAAGAATGTGGATCACTTTCTGTATTGACAAGTGAACGGACGACTAAGATTTCAAATTCTTTTTGCTAGCAAGTATTTTTAGTCATATTTAAGAATGTTCCCATATCAACCATTTAATTAAGAACAGTTTCAGCTGTTCAGTTTAGCAGAAAAGTTTTAAAATATATGTTCAGCTTGCTGCCTTGACTAAATAACTATATTTCACCAAGGGTCAGAAGATATCTGGTTCTTCGATTACTGTGCCATACATACCATTTCAAGTGCCCTAGGTTGTCTGGCAATTTGTTCAAGCACCAATAAATATGAGTGAAGAAGATTCTTTGATGAAGTTTCCAAGGCATGATGGTCAAGCAATTAGTGGATGGTTCGATGATATGATAAAATCAACCTTGAATGTATAATGGATCATGAGAATCAACTCGAAAACATGGCTGTGCTTTCACTTTGAATTAAAATATTACCTGTCAGTCCTATGTCACGACAAGAAGTTTGTGTAAGCCAATGCACTTTGTTGCGGTGATTGATCCCTAATGATAAATTTATGCATGCTACTACTCCCTTTCCAAACAAATTTAATGCTGCTTGTTAATGAAGATATTATATACACAGCCATTCCATACATAACTAAATACTATTTGCAACAATATTATTATATTTCTCTCTCCCAAGTCCCAGTTACTACCTTTAGTTATTGCTGGTTTGCAGTGTCATTTTTCTTAATCTCAAATAGGTGATGTATAAATTGGGTAACATGATTTCGTTTGTGCAGTGTATTATTGAGCATGGTGCACTCCCATGCTTGCTGAGCTTGTTGACCCATAACCATAAGAAGAGCATCAAGAAAGAAGCCTGCTGGACAATCTCAAACATCACTGCTGGAAACAAAGAACAAATACAGGTAAAGATATGGATCTTGCAGCTTATCTTTTCAACTTCATTATAGATCATGTATTTACTTCTGCTTTTATCTTATTTAGCATCCTCTTGTCACTATCCTGTTCGTCTTAAACCATAAGCAGTTGTATGGGCTTGCATGCATTGTGATTACCTGTTTGCACCATCCATTTGGGTCTTTCTGAAACCATCATGAATTACTGTCATCAAATTGGTAAAATAAAGAGAAGAATTTATAGATGTTCTTTAACGTCATCTTTCTGTAACTATGAAATTGGTTCAGTTCTGTGATTCCAGGTTCTGTCACTGGTTTTTTCGTGAGTATAATCATGTGTACTGATTCCATGTTCTTTGTCAATATCAGTCTGTAATCGAGGCTGGGTTAATTGCTCCCTTGGTCAATCTGCTTCAGACAGCTGAATTTGATATAAAGAAAGAGGCTGCTTGGGCAATATCAAATGCCACTTCTGGTGGTAGTAATGAACAGATCAAGTATGTTATCTTTTTTACTTCATAAATTTAAAATCCTACGTAATAGATGTATTTACGTCTAGAACTTCATTTTGATTCCTAGGTACTTAGTGAGTCAGGGGTGTATCAAACCGTTGTGTGATCTCCTTGTATGTCCCGATCCGAGGATTGTGACCGTGAGCTTAGAAGGGCTTGAGAACATCTTAAAGGTAGGAGAAGTTGAGAAAAACTCGGGCAACTCTGGAGATGTTAATTTCTATGCTCAGTTGATAGACGATGCAGAAGGATTAGAAAAGATTGAGAACTTACAGAGTCATGACAATAATGAAATTTATGAGAAGGCTGTTAAGATTCTTGAGACATATTGGTTGGAAGAGGAAGAGGAGCCTGTAGCTGATGGTGCACAGCCTGGCTTCAACTTCGGTGGAAGCAATGTTCAAGTTCCCTCTGGTGGATTCAACTTTAGCGGCTGAAAAGGTCATTTCATATTTCACTTTTTTATGGTCAACTTCCTATTTGTAGTACCAGGTACTTGTTTCTTATTAAACCATAGCTCAACCCCCACCACTACCACACACACTCCTCCCACCCAAAAAGATAAGACCTAAAGACATACAGTTTGAATGAAACAGTACTTCAAAATTCTGAATCAAATTTGGTTTCTGAAAATTGACATTGAACATCCTAGAACAGATAAGTTTCACATTTTGACTACACATGTAGCCTATCAGAAGTGGTTTTGACTTTTAGTTATTGGCTACCTTGTAATAGCAATTATGGGAATTTTGTGGACAAAAAGGAGTAGCATCAATAGTTTGTGATGATGAGAGATTGGCAGATGTTACTTTTTAGTTTGAAAATTTGCCATTTTTAGGACGAGTGAAATGCTACTAGAAAATAATAATTTTGATTATATGCATAGAACTTCTGTTGGCAACCCTGAGATGGTCCCAATTTGAATGTGCAGGGCGTTCTCGAGAACAAGTCAAAAGTATGTCGGTCGGTTGGCGTCAAAGGTCAAGTCTGGTCAGGTCAGGTGGAGTCGGGTCGGTCAGGTCAGGTCATATAATGGTGGTCCAGGTTCAATAAAGGAAGGGGTTGTCGGAGATGGATTTATTTTGTAGTTACGGAAAGGTCTGTGGGTGGGGTGGGGCAATTGTTTGGTTCTTTTTACCTCGAGCCGTTGAATGTTTTGGAACAATGTTCGAGGTTGAATGGCGTCTTTATTTTCTGAATGTTTATTTTGTTGGGTAGCTCGGTTGTTTGTTGTACCGTGTTGGGGCATCTCTCTTTTTGTATTAATGGGGGTAGTGAGTGTATATTCATGTCAACTTATCCTACTGTAATGGTAATATTTATATTTTTTGGTTTCTCTTATTGCAAAGTTGTTGATTTTCTTATTTTCACATCATATGATCGACTTTCTCTTGCCTTGTGCTTGTATCTAGTGTGCAACTGTTGTATAAAAAATCTGTTTAGACAGTTGAACTGGTTAGACCGCAGTGCACCTATTATGGAAAACTTGCCTTTTCTTCAGAATTTGGATTCGGGCAACTTTTCCGATGACTTGTTCGTTTAAGATTTTCAGTGAACTACCACGGTTTGCAATGGCAATGGGCTGAGGTAGGATGCTGTGTCATCAGTGTTTGCCATGTGAATATATATGCTTGTTCTAGGTTTGGCTCGATAAATTAATACTGATTGGGAAAATACAAAATGCAGTTCTCTTTTTCCCATCAAAATAGATGGAACAAAAATCGGAAGATGGAAGATGGGTGAATTACTACAACACCTATGTTAGATTAAACCAATAAGAGAAATTGACCAAAATAGCCCATCTCCATAACCAACTTTAGACTCTTTCAATTGAATTTCCATTTTAGCTAGAGTTGACCTAAATGTCTTATGCATGTGCATAAACTCAATTTTCAGATTAATAAAAAAATAAAAAATTGACAAATATTTGCCTAGGATTCTTATGTATATACATAAAGATTCAAATTTTTATGTTAAAGGAAATTTTTATTTTTCTACATGAAGAATCTACATAAAGACTAAGGGACAGTTTACCAAACACTTACCCAGTAAGCGCTTACTGGTGAAATTTAACACTATCATTTACTTATCGGGTAAGATTTTAATCCACCAAAACGCTATCGTATGCAACAATTTACCTGATAAGTGCTTACCGTGGTAAGAGTCGACGCCTTCACTTACCAGGTAAGACTCTTGGTCCTCGTCTCGCTCTTATCGGGTAAGATTCTTGGTCCTCGTCTCGCTCTTA